AATACGGGTGGTCCTCAATCCGTAGAACTCTTGCACATGTTTCAAGCGAATGTGCGCGGCGCAAAGGCGAGAGCCGCATTTGAAAACCACCCGCCCTTCATTGTGAAGCTGCTGTCAATTATCGAGTTTCAGGATCATGCGTACATGGTGAGGAAGTCTCAGGCGAAACGCCAGGCTGGCCCTAAAAACTTGCCTCGGGGTGCGACAGGGAGAAGATATACAGAAGGAACAATAATGGAGGAGGAGGAGGAGGAGGAGGAGGAGGAGGAGGAGGAGAGTAGGATGAGGAGGAGGAGGAGGAGGAGGAGGAGGAGGAGGAGGAGGAGGGGGAGGAGGAGGAGGTGAGGTGGAGGAGGAAGGAGGAGGAGGAGGAGGGAAGAGGAGGGAAGAGGAGGAGGAGGAGGGAGTATGATGGAGGAGGGATTAGGAGGTGGGAGGAGGCGGAGGGAGAAGGCGGAGGGCGGAGGAGGAGGTGGAGGAGGGAGGAGGAGAGGAGGAGGGGGAGGAGGAGGAGGAGGAGGAGGAGGAGGAGGAGGAGAGGAGGAGGAGGAGGAGGAGGAGAGGGAGGAGGAGGGAGGGAAGAGGAGGAGGCGGAGAGAGGAGGCGGAGGGAGGAGGCGGAGGGAGGAAAAGGAGGAGGAGGAGGAGAAGGAGGAGAAGGAGGAGGGGAGAAGGAGGAGGAGGGATGAGGGAGGGACGAGGACGAGGAGGAGGTGGAGAAGGAGGAGGAGAAGGAGAAGGAGGCGGAAGATGAGGAGGAGGAGGGAGGAGGAGGAGGAGGAGGAGGAGGACGAGGGAGGAGGGAGGAGGGGGGGAAGGAGGAGGAGGGAGTAGGATGGAGGAGGGAAGGGGGAGGAGGAGGGAGGAGGAGGGGATGATGGGAGTAGGATGGAGGAGGGATTCGGAGGAGGAGGAGGAGGAGGAGGAGGAGGAGGGAGTGAGGAGGACGGGATGAGGAGGAGGGGAGGAGCAGGGAGGAGGCGAGGGGGGAGGGAGGGAGGGAGGGAGGGAGGGGAGGGGAGGGGAAGGGAGGGGGGAGGGAGGAGGAGGAGGAGGAGGAGGAGGAGGAGGAGGAGGAGAGGAGGAGGAGGAGGAGGAGGAGAAGGAGGAGGAGGAGGAGGATGAGGAGGAGGAGGAGGAGGAGGAGGAGGAGCCCCCCTCCGAAGGCCTGAACAGGAGACCAGCACGCGGCCGGACACTCGCACGCGGAGGTCGGGGGCGGCGGGCGAGCACTCCTGCGTGCGGCGGCGGGCAGGGCCGGCCCGAGTGGGGGGTGTCGGCGACTCCTGCGGGTGTGTCTTGCGAAGGGTGTGGTCTGCAACCCGTACCACAGGGAGCGGGCGAGGACCTAACGCCGTGCCCCGAGGAGGCCCGAAGAGGGCCACGGTTGCCCCCGAGAGCCCCAACGGCGCCGATCGCAGACCACACCCCAGCGTGAGCATACCTTCTGTAATCGCAGTGGGGTGGTGGGGGGCCGGCGGGCGCGCAGGGAAGCCCTCTGGCGCCCTGCGCCACTTGCGGGGAAACCAAAAGGTACCGATATCGCTACTCCCTGGACCTCTCCTGGGGTGCGTTCTGACCAGAATTTCGAGGCGAATCCAGCGGTGGCGACGAGGGCCTCCCAGGAGGCCCAAGACGGGGACAAAACGAGGGAAGGGTAGCGGTAGCAGTACCTTGTCCTCCTCCGAACTGACGCTGCCCTCGCTGGAGGATCCTCACTCCGACGTGCTCGAAATCTCTGACGGGCAGCACGCCGGGAGGCCGTCGGCCGCGCGGGGCCTCCGACGGCCTCGCCCCGTGCCGCGATGGGGCCGTCAAAGAGCAGCTCGGGGCGCAGAGCCGGGACTTCCGGGGAGAGGGTCGGGGCTTCTGCCGGGGGCCCCGTGCTGCACACGTCCGGGCATCGCGCGTCTGGGCACGGATGGCTCCCCAAGAAATATCCTGATCCTCTGGGAGGGGACCCAGGTCAGGAGGGCCGGAAAAACCTTGGGGAGGGGGGGCGCTCTTCTTGCTGCAGAGGTGTCGAACCGAACCGCCCAGATGCAGCATCCCGAATGCGCAGGCGGGGACCTCAGTGAGGCCACGTCTTCATCGTGTCATTGGGGTCAGGGGCTCTCTTGTGGTTAACGAGTCCAGAGACCTGCCTCCATCAAGCCTCCTACAATCCCTTCACCCGTTCCTCGTGTAGTGTTTTGTACATGTGTATATAAGTACGTATATGTAAGTTACGCTCGCCCAATGTTGTCCCAAACACCACTGTGCACCGCATGTCTGGGCATGGGTGTTTAACCAAAGGGACCCCTAATCATTTGGGAGGGAACCCAAGTTAGGAGGGCAAACAGAGCATCAGGGATAAGGGGCTCGTTTCTGCGGATATATCGAACCAAGCCGCCCAGATGGATTACCCCTAACGCGAAGACGGGGACCTCAGTGAGGCCACGTCTTCATCGTGTTATTGGTGTCAGGGGTTATTCTTGAGCTCGATGAACGGAGAGCCCTTCCTCCACCAAGCCTCCCACAATCCCTTCGCTCGTTCCTCGTGCTGTGTGCTGTCTGCCTGTATGGATTCGCTCGTTCCTCGTGTTGTGTGCTGTGTGCCTGTATATATATATATGTATGTATAAATATATAGATATATACACATACACCTGTATGTATACAATCACGCTCGCCCCAGGTTGTCCCAAACACCACTATGACGGTGGCAGATCAAAGGAGACCACTGAGTCGTACATGAAAGGGAATTCGAATCAACGGACGCCAGGTTCTGACATCTCTAACACTGGACGGCGCGCATGCAACTGTGGGTGGCCTCGATAGCGTACATAATGTTGAACACATCGCTCAACGACACTTTGCGCATGAACGAAATGTGTTGGAAAATCGCTCCGAAAAGCGTCGGAATCGCAACGCCATGCCATGTTCACCGCGGTGACGAGTGCGCTTCCGCGGCATTCGCAGGTCTGTCCTATATTTGTCGCCGTCATCTTTAAGGTGCACACGACTCTCCAGAGATGAGCTTGGGGGGACCTGGAGCGAAATTATCTGACATACACACAAAAAAGGGACGGAGGGGCATCAGGACCAGAAAGAGGTTCAGGAGTATGAGCAGGAGGAGCAGGAGGACACAAGGAGTTGGAGGAAACGACGATCTGACGAGAGGAGGGGGACAAGCTAGGCGCACTCGCACCATATCTGATATCCCTTCCCGTTGCGCAGTTTTTTCGCTATCTGCCGACGCGTGTCCTAGCGGACCTGGAACTCCAAAGAGGACCCGATCGTGCCATGCACAATCGGAAACTGGCAGCTGCGTGTATAGGAGAAGGAGGTTGCGGATGAGCAGGAGGATGAGCAGGAGAACAAGGAGGAGGAGGAGGAGGCAGGAGGAGGACGAGGACGAAGGACAGCAGCAGGAGCTGGAGTGGAAGGAGCGGGAGGAGCAGGAGCACCAGGGGAAGGCGCGAGGAGGGGAAAAAAGAGTGGGGGCGATAACGACACGAGGCAGGACTCGGACATCCAGAGCCGTGGCTCGCGCCGAAGCGCCAACGCCGTTCTGAGCTCCGGAAGAGCAGAGCGCCGGTCCTGCAGGGAGCAGCACGCTCCAGCGGGGACAGCGCTCGGAAGCACCGGCAGCGTCCCGAGAGAGGCGCGGGGGAGAGGGGATGGAAGCTGGAAACTCTTGGGGCAACACTTGGGGGATGATGATGGGGGAGGATCAGGAGAGGGTTGAAGAGGAGGAGGAGGAGGAGGAGGAGGAGGAGGAGGAGGAGGGACGAGGAGGAGGAGGAGATGGGAGGCGGACGGGGGAAGGATGGGAGGGAGGGGGGAGGGAGGAGAGGGCAGGGGGAGCGAGAGGGGACGGGCCGGGGAGGGAGGCGGAGGGAGGTTGGCGGGAGGACGAATGCAGGAGGAGACGAGGCTGGAGGGAGCTGGAACCTCCAAGGACGACGAGGAGGGTGACGAGGACGACAGGGAGAACGCGGAGGGAGGAGAAACGGAGCAACAGCAGGACGAGGAACATTGGGAGGAAGAGGCACGTGAAAAAGCGGGCACAGCAATGCTACGCAGGACACCGCCGCCGCCGCCGTCGTCGTCGTCGTCGTCGTCGTCCTTCGTCGTCGTCGTCGTCGTCGTCGTCCAAGTTGAGGGTCGGCGGCGACCGCCGTAAGGCCTTCGCAGTATCAGGAGGAATGGGCAGGGGAAAAGCGCGGGCACGACCTTTCCACGCAGGACCAATAGCCACAGAATACGAGCGCGAGTCCACGCGAGGTCCGGCGCAGCGTGCATCGAGGCCGAGCTGATGCGGCCACAAGGGCGACAAGCATACGCCCCAGCGACGACGACGAGAGGCAGAGTCGAACGCCGATACGCCTCGGGCTCCCACTCATTACAGGGCAGTTTTTAATACATAGGAATTTTAAACATATTGGACTTTTAATGCATGATTCCTTGATGAATCAATGTATGCATAAACTCATCCTTGTATGTAGTAATAAACCCTTTATTTTTAAGACATGGTCCGCACGCGGAGCATGTATTAAAACCGGCGCTGTATGGCCGGGAGCTTTTGCTTAGCGTGTCGGGGCGGCGGCCTCGCGCCACGCCGCGCCCCGCAAACAGAGATAGCACGTCTCTCCGCTCCGCGGGGGCGGGAGGCTGGGAACCAAGTCGAGAGGCCGACGCAGGGGGACTGGGACGTGGATGGCCAGTCGCGCCAGAGCGTGGTGGGCCGGAGCTGGCGGCGCGACAGGCCAAACCCAAACTCCTGACCGTGATTTTGATGTCGGCAACCGCTGCAACCTTTTGAGAGGGAAAAGAACTATGCACATGCACCGATTCTGGCCAGGCCCATCCTGAGCCCAGGATCGGTGCATACGCCCTCCTGCCTTGGCCAGGAAGGCATATGCACCGATCCTGGGTCAAAAATGGGCCTTGCCAGGATCGGTGCATGTGCATAGTTTTCTTCGCCCGACTTTTTACTCGTTTTCGAATGTTCGGCTTCCGGCTTAATGAAAGAGAACAGAAGCGGCAGCCCCAAACAGGAACAAAGGGCAGTGCAACACAGAACCGAACCAAACCGCCACGCGAACGAGAATCCCAGAATAGAAAGAACACGGGCCCCGCAGCGGAACAAAAAAACGCTGATCTTGGTAACGAACAAATCGTCCCCAGCGTTGTTAGCATCATCGGAATCCCACTCAGCCTCGTGAGCACGCATGCGCGGCACGGTCATCGTGCAGCGGACTGCGCCGGGCCTGCGGCAGCGGGCTACGTCAGAAGCCGACGGCCGTGGTGACGCCTCCAGGCTTGACATCCTCGGGCACGATCAGCGACTCCCCCTGGAGGCGCGCATGCTCGCGGTACCAGGTCAGCTCGAAGTTGTAGGCCTTGAAGGTGTCACTCCACTTGCAATCCCAGCAAGAGCCCCCGCATTTCTCGTACTTGCACTTGCGCTCCCAGCCTCCCCGGCTCATCTTGCACCACAGGGGGCACCTTCTCGATGGGAAGAGGACGCGAAGAGGGGGCGGATGAGGAGAAGGAAGGAAGGAAACGCAGCGGGAGGATTGGAGGGTGAGGGGAAGGAGACAGATGGGAGAGAGTGTGAAAGCGAGAGAGAGAGAGAGGGAGAGAGACACGGAGCGGGGGAAATGGAAAAGAGAGAGGGAAAGAGAGAGAGAGAGACAGAGAGAGCGAGGCGGATGTAGTAAGGGGAAATGGGAAAAGAGCAAGGTTGGGGAGGTAACAGATGGAGTGAAGGGGGGGAGATATGAGAGGGACGTGAGGGAAGGGCGAGGGGAGATAACAAGCTCTAGGCGCCCTCGCGCAATAACTGACATCCCAACCCTCTCACCCATCCCTTCCGGTTGCGCTGTTTTTTCTCTATCTGCCGACGCGTGTCCTAGCGGACCCGGAATTCCATAGTGGACCCGATCGTGCCATGCACAATCGGAAACCGGCAGCTGCGTGTATAGGAGAAGGAGGTTGCGGATGAGCAGGAGGATGAGCAGGAGAACAAGGAGGAGGAGGAGGAGGAGGAGGAGGAGGAGGAGGCAGGAGGAGGAGGAGGAGGCATGCGGAGGACGAGGACGAAGGGCAGCAGCAGGAGCTGGAGTGGAAGGAGCGGGAGGAGTAGGAGCACCAGGGGAAGGCGGGAGGAGGGAAAATGAGGGGTGGCGACAACAACGAAAGAGGACCAGATCCATGACAGTGGCTGGCGCTGGGGCGAGAGCGCCATCCTGAACAACGGGAGCGGCCTGCCGATCCAAGCAGTAGGCCCGTGCTGCTGCGGGGTCATCACTGCGAAACGCCGGAAACAATCGGAGTGTAAAAGCCATACGAAGCATCAGAGTTTCAAATCCAATGGGAAAAAATAATACGCGGAGAGGCACGACTAGCTATATGACAAAGTCAGGGGAGAGAGGAGAGCAGCATTCACAATGAGGAGACGCATTAGGAGGAAGAGCACGAGGAGAAGGAGGAGTAGAAGGAGGACCAGGCGAGGGAGGGGATGGAGGAGGTGGAAGGACGGACGAGGACCTTGAGGATAAGAGCGACGGCTCGGTTGAGGACGACTGGGGGGAGAAGGAGGAGGAGCAGGAGGAGGAGCCGGAGGCACCCCTCCCGCTTCTTCAGCATGGTCGACACGGAGGTGTGCTCCCTGTGCGGCTTCCACTTCCCCGCCAGGGACCACGTGCGGTGGTGCCTGTGCTCGACGGTGCCGTTCACGGCCCCGGCCATGGGCGAGAGCAGGACGAGCATCAGGGCGCGCGGGAGCGTCGGCATCGGGAGCATGGCCGGTCGGACGTCGCAGGAAAGGGGGAGGCCCGGTTGACACGACGGCGGCCATCTCCTCCGAGTCCGACCCCAACTGCTCCCCTTCCTCCACCTCCTCGCACGCCCTTCTCCCCTGGCGCCCTGACGGTGCGGGCGGTGCTGTACCTCCTCCCTCCTCTCCCCGTCCCACTGCCCCCTCCTCCCACCTCCAATTCGCCCCCTTCCCCATGCTGTGGCAGGACCGTTCTCGCAAACGAGCTTTCCTTGGCACAAGCTCCCTGCCCTGACCTGGCGCCAACGCACCCCAAGGGACCGTTTCCTCATTCATGGGGGGTAACGCGCGTTCCCCGGGGGGGCGAGGGGGCAGCGGCAACGGCGGCCGCGGCGTGCACCCGCCAGGGTGAGTCCGAGCCAACAGCACAGCAACCGCCTGTGTTCGCCACAGCCCCTGTGCACGCGACAATGCCGAATGCCCGAAGGCCATTCCCTGTGCACACGACAATGCCCGATGCCTGCGTGTAAGCACAGCGACGACTGCGTATTCCACAGTGCATCCGTACACCGCAGCAGCCGCGCGCACCACAGCAACACGTCGCCCGTGTACACCGCAGCGCATGTGCACTCCTTACAATGTCCTTTGGAATTCACGCTCGCGCCCTGCTTGCAAGCGTTACGGTTACAGGGGGGGGTCTGGGGGGTGGCGGGGAACACGCGCTACCCCCGAGAACATGCGAAGACCGATCCCCAACGGACGCCACTGCTCGCGAGAACGAACGCGGCGTGTTTGAACGGAAGCCAACGCCAGCCTGTTGGGCGCCACTGCTGCTGCCGCTGGGCTGCGTCTGGAGCTCCCTCTCTCGAGGCTCCGGAGAGTGACACGGGGCCGGGAGTCGCCTGCGCCAGAGAGAAGGTCCGTCCGAGATGTAACGCCCCCGAGACGCGGGGAGAAAGATGGAGGAGGAACGACGGACGGAGGGGCGAGGAGGACACGATGGGCCGATTGTCCACCACCACTACCATGCATGCAGGACGGGAGGAGAAGGGAGAATAGAGAGGTCCTCCAACTTCTCCTCCTCCTCCTCCTCCTCCTCCTCCTCCTTCTCCTCCTCCTCCTACATACGGCAGTGGTGGTAGAATATTGGCCAATCAGGACACGCAGGAGGCTACCCCGACGGGGGTTCAAGAAACCCTGGGGCGTGCAAACGTGGATTAGCGATCCGTGGATTTGGCGCGCGGTCACCAAATCCATGGATCGGGCGAAATGCGCTCCCCAAAATTGCGGCCAGTGCCGCCTCGCTCGGCGGCGGAAGTCAGCGAGTTCCCCTGGAAACGGGACCCGTCGCTAGCCCACGCCCCCTTGATCCATGTCTGCAATCGCCTGAAGGAGGGAGGAAGAACGACGGACGGAAGGGGGATTGAGCAGGGACCGACCGTCCCAGCATTCTTATAGTCCTACATCGAAAGGTTCTTAGAACCCAGAAATGTTCTAAGAACAAAATCAGTGTTCTTAGAACATGAAAACCCGATGCGATAAAACAAGACAGTCCCAACCAGAGATGTTCTAAGAACATGTCGTGGGAACCACAGTAGGTTCCCAGAGCATTCTTGGGTAGGACTATAGGAGGCGAGCCAAGGCGCCTCGCCCCTGCGAGGGGGGAGGAGGACACGCAGGTGGCTACCTTGGCTGCGCGCACAAGGGGGTGGGGGGAGGGGGAGGGCTTCTTAGAAGCAGGCCGCTTCTTAGAAGGCGCCGGCCTTGCATCTATAGATAAGGCCCGCGCCTTCTACGAAGCAGGGGTGCTTCTAAAGCCCTCCCCCCTCCCCCCGCCCCCCTCTGCGCGTGGCTGATTACCGACGGGGGCCCACGAAACCCGTGGGGGGGGGGGAGGGCGGACCTCCAAAAAAGAGCGCACCGCAGGCCCAAGCATCCCCCCCCCCCAAGGGTGCCGTGCCCTCGCCCCGACCGCGGCGGAGCCGTTGCGCTTCCGCCGAAAGTGAGATGTCTGCATGTCTACAGGTATCTTTATGGTATACGTTGTATACACATGCGTATATACATATATATATATATATATGTGTGTACTAGAACCATCGCGCGCGCTCAGGTTCTAGCCCAGGCCGGGGGAGCGCTGGACGATCTTGGACAACGCTATCAAGCACAGGCGCGCGACGGCATCTGAGGAGCTTCGGAGGTGTTCCGCATGCTGTCAACTGGCTGTTGGAGGCACCTCTTGGGTGCCTCTTGGGGGTGCGTCTGAGGGTCCCTTGGGGGCATCGGTTCTGCAATCTGAAGCCGTCATTGGCCGTCTTGGCTGCGTGGAGGCCCGACTTGAGGCCACCTGCGGCCAGATTGAGGCAATCCGGAAGCCTCCCGGGGGCCTCTGGAAGCAGTTTTGACGCATCGAGAGCACTCTTGGGCTATTTAAACCTCTTGGACGTCTCCTAAGGGCCTTTTGGGCCATCGGGAAGCTTTTGGGGTCCTCTTGCGGCCTCCTGTGGGCCTTTTGGGGGGGAACGCTCTGCTGTTGGGTCGCGTTCCCCTTCTTGGGCCTCTCTTGGGGCTCTTGGGGCCCTCTCGGGCCGTCTTGGGCGCCTCAAGCACCGTCTTGGGGCCCTCGCGGGCCGTCTTGGGGCCCTCTTGGAGGCCTCTTCCTCTATATTGGAGCGGTATTGGAAGCCTCTTGGGCCGTCTTGGAGCATCGAGATGCCAAAGGCAGAAAAATCAAAACCCGTCAAAGCCCAATCGTAAAACAATGAGTTGTGCCTCTTGGGGCCACCTTGGGAGATCTCTTGGAACCTCGTCGGCCCTCTTGGGAGCTTCTTGGGGGCCTCTTGGATCCGATTGGGGGCCTCTTGGGACTTCCCGAGAACCTCTCGGGGTAGAAAGCTCGGATTCTCAGTTCGTGTTTCCCTTCTTGGGCCTCTCTTGGGGCCGTCTTGGGGCCCTCTCGGGCCTCTTGGGCGCCTCAGGCACCGCCTTGGGGCCCTCGTGGGCCGCCCAGGGCCCTCTTGGAAGCCTCTTCGGCTATCTTGGAGCTGTCTTGGAGGCCTCTTCCTCCTCCTCGTCCCCCTCCTCCTCCTCCTCACTCCAGCTCTCTCTCCTCCTGATCTTCCTCCTCCTCCTGCAGCGTGTTCCGGAAGGCTCCCGCCGGAACATGCTGTGCACAAGTGCTGTCACTGCTCCCGCCACAGTGCCCTGGGTGGTGGGTCAGAGGCCTCATGGGTGTTGGTTTGGATCTCGTGGTTGGCCTGTCGGGGACGTCGTGAAGGCAGTTTCGCAGCTTCTCGGTAGCCGTTTTGGGACCGTTGTGGGGCCTCCTCGGGGCTGTTTTGTGGCCTCTTTAGGCCTCGTTTGGGCCTCCTGGGTGCCTCTTGGGGGCCTCCTGGGGCCTCTTGGGGGCTCCTTGGGGCCTCCTGGGGCACTCTTCAAGCGGGAGGGTCGAATTTTGGAGTCGTGGTCCCCCTCTTGGGCGCATCTTGGGGCCGTCTTGGGGCTCTGTTGGGCTGTCTTGGGCGACTCTGGGGCCGTCTTGGGGCCCTCTTGGGCCGTCTTGGGGCGCTCTTGGGGGCCTATTGAGCCGTCTTGGAACGTCGGACAGCCGAAAAGGCTGGAAGGCCAAAATCGTTCGAAAACCTTAGTAAAATTGACGATTTCGGCCTCTTGAAGCGCTCTGGAGAGGCGTCTTGAAGCGTCGTGGAGTGCCTTGGGGGGCCTCTCGGGCCGTCTTGGGCCTATCTTGGGCGTCCTGGAGCAGTCTTTCGGCGACTCGGGGCCCGCTTGGGCTGTCTTGGGAGCCTCTGGAAGCCCTCCTGGACTATTTGGAACCTCCCCGGCCGCCCCGTCCTCCCACGGGGGGTCGGAGGCGGCGGCCTCGGAGGCCCTGGAACGCCGAAACCTTGTAAAAGCACAGGGAAAGTGAGCCACGGAGCCCCCATGGGGGGCGCAGGTCCACTAATGGCTGGCTCCCTCGGATGCCCTGGAACGCCGAACCCCCTTAAAAAACACAGGGAAAGTGAGCCCCGGAGCCCCCATGGGGGGCGCAGGCAACTTCCTGGCGGCCTCGCTCTTGTTCCGCCGGCATATGTATATATATATATATGTATATATATATATATATATATATATGTGTATACATATATATATATATATATGTGTGTGTACGTATATACACATACATACATACATACATACATACATACATACATACATACATACATACATACATACATACATACATACATATATATATATATATATATATATATATTCTATGATGTGCATTATATGCTATAAATGTACTGTTTGTCTACAGATATGTGTTGTATGTATCGTATGCTGTGCATTATGTATACGTATACATCGTATACACATGCGCACGGCTTAGGAAGGCAATGGGGCAGCGAATGCTCTCTCGGCAGCGAGGACGGTGGACACTGTTGGAGGAGGAGAAACGCAACTCCCCCCTGCTTCCGGCCGGCCGATATGAATGGATGAAGTACCGATGGCTGAAAAGGCCTTCCAGCCGCCACTGTTGACAAGACAAGCCGCTCGAGCCACAGCGACTGCAATGCAGCGGAAGAAGAACGAAACATGAAACAAGCAGAAACAGCAGTGGTAGGATGAGGCTGCTGAGAGTGACGTTGGTGGTAACGATGAGGTAGGGCGAGGCTGAATATGACAGAGGATCAGGGTGGTTGGGAGGGCGAGATTTATGCCTAGGATGGCTGTGCTGATGCTAATCATGACGATTAAGAGGAGAAAGCGGGGATGCATTACAGTGGAGGCCCGACCACAAGAAGCCTTCCACAAGAAACCCGACCCTGAGACCCCAGGGCGTCCATGGATGTTTGGTGTGGGCACGTGACGCTCTCCATGGCAGAACCATCGAAACCCAAGAAACCCAGGGCACCCTGGAGGCGAGCATGGTGTTTCTTGGCATGGGTTTTCTCTTTACTCCTACACAGCATGAGTGGGACGATTGATACGGGCCACAGCCCCGACCCCAACTTCATGGCAA